TGCTGATGCTAGTTTAGTTAGCGCTCACACTTCTGTTTCCTCCATCGGTGGCGGCGGGGGAGTGGCAGATACGCTCCACCGTTACCATCCATGTTTACTTCCATAAACACTGAGCACGCTCGCTGCGTGTGACGTCGTCGTGTCCTCTTCTGCGCATGCGGGACACTTTTGGCTCGTATGAAGTTCACACAGCAGATCACATACAAGTCGCATTGAAGTGGAAACGTGAAGGAAGTCACAAAGAAATCCTCATTGAGCATCAAGTCCTGCAGTGTGAACGTAGCCAATCTGTGGGATTGTTCAGTCAGATAATACGCCGTCATCCTGATTGGTGACATTAAATGTCATGTCGGAGTCACAATCCAAGGCTGTCGCTATGTTAAGGCTGTTTTTATGGGTTCTGTTGGGTTTTCCTAAAAACCTGTCAGATAGCAGGTTTAGGATTGTTAAGGGTCGATCATCCAGTCATGACTGTGTTCTAAAAGTTAAGTTTAATTACTACTCACAGGTTGTATTTGTTCCTTTACTCTCTGCTCTGTGTGGTTCAGCTGAACAGAGTTTTTGTGTTTTCTACTGACGGCAGTCGTAGAATAAATAGATTCTGATGAAATATCTTGATTTTAAGCTTAGATTTGGTTGTGTTTTTTTCTGGCAGAACTGTGCATCACACATGATTATGAGCGTTGATGTGTTAAAATCCCACAATTCCTCCACTAAACGGTATGATGTTTAACAGGTTACACGCTTTTTTTACACAGTGCTGTCAAGTTCCTTCATGTTTTCAAACACACACATTATTTTTTCACTGAACGTGATCGTTCATGTCTTTGAACAACGGACACAGAGAGTCCGGTTGCTCTGAATCACATCGACGGAAAACCTCAAAAAATAACATTTCACAAAATATGCTAACGTACCGAAACACGCTGACGGTTATTTATCCCACGAAAAATGTGCAACAGATACTGAGAGCATTTTATGTTCATGAAAAGGCAGCAAAACTGTGAGATGCTTAGTTTTTTATTTTAAAAAAAGCAAATCTAAAGAAAAGCAAACAGCAACTAAAAACAATAAAAACAGGTTAAAGCCTAACTTCACAACAAATTAAAAAGTTAGCGTTGCAGCGTAAACAAAAGCAAAAAAGAAAAAAGAAAGTAAACAATGACGAAAACAACAAAAAGCCACGATTATGACTGAAAACTGAACCCGACCGCTCCTGTTGAGGGTCTGAAGGGTTTGCATGGGTACATATCACCCAAACATGAGCAACTAAAGTGCTGCTGCAGCGCAAACAAAAGCACAAAGCGACTGAAAACAGAAGTAAACATGGAGTGAAAACACCACAAAGACGTGGCCCCGTTCACGACTCAGACTCCACGCTGTTGCTCTTTTCATGTGTGAAGTGAAAAAACTCAGTGATGTGGAAGCAGAACAACAGAAGAGAACAGGTCCAGAAAAACACACATTTACAGTGTTTCTGCCGTGAAGTGTGGCAGCTACACGTCGGTGGAGGCAAACCTGCTCCTTTAAACAGCCCTGATGGTGTTTTCTGCCTCTCCTCTGTCAACAGCACCACATTATTATACTGATGCAAAACCACTTAGGGAAGAGAATTATGAATCATAAATGCACAGCGAGCCCTTCGCTGACTTTTTTCTGATTATTCTGCGTTGGCTGAGTTTGTCCAGAGGAGACGACTGGACGAGCATCTGAACTCGGAGCCGAACACAACAGCAGACGTACGAGGACCCTGTTTACAGCCGGGTTTGAACGATCATCACGTCTGCAGAGACTAAAGCCTGTTCATGACGTCCAGAGCAGACGTCAGGGTTTGCTGGACGGTGTTCAGCTGCTCGACCTCGAGCGCTTGTTTGGTTCTGCTCACATTTAAGGAGTTGGAAACAAGCGCTTAACCTCTTTTCCTGGACTTCTGAAGCCCTCTAAGTGTTCGGTGTCACGGCCGCTGCTCTCCGGAGCAGACGAACCGCCGCGTGGACGGAATAAATCCAAACTGTTGCTCTGTGCAGAGGCAGAGGTGAAGTCTGTCTGTAAACGGGCCTCCATGTGTTCTGTCTCGACACGTGGAGGCCGTGAGCACTAAAAAAAACCAGGAAACTGTGTCTTATTTGGCTCCTAGAATCTGGACACCCTCCATATATTAACTGTTCTCTGCATTTATGCACTTTGTAAACAGCTACATGCAGGTTTAGAGGCTCAGTCTGGTCCAACGCTGAGTGCATCCTGGTTCATCTCTGTGCTGTCAGCGGTCTGACAGCTCCTCACCGTCTCTCCACATCAATAGAAATCCACAGGTGGTGCAGATTTCCCAAACTTCTACTGTAAATCTGTCAGAATCTCCACCCAGCAGAGCTCCTCTCCTGCATGTTAGTGGGTTTTTTTTCTTTGCGTGACAGACATGAAGCTCTTTTTTCTCTCCTTATCAAAGCACCTTCCTCTTCCAATGACATTTTAAAGCTAATATTGACCTCTTCCCACAATCGCAGCTCCTTTCCTCGAAGCACGAGGCTTTTAAATCTGTAATTTATACGCGCTCTCTCTCGGCGGCTGAGTGTGATTGCTCTTATTCAAACACGGCTAACCCCGTTTCATAGACGGCAGAGGAGATAACGTCGCATTAATGACGGTGCATAATGGAGTCAAACACGTCTGAAACAACACGCAGCACTTGAGATGCAGCCATAGTGACAGCAGCCGGTCCTGTGCCTGCACGCTAACAGCCCTCAGAGCCGGCGCTGGTGTCTCACTGTGCTTCGTCTGAAGCCCTTCGCCATGCTGGGCAAGGGCACTGCATTGGTGCCATCTAGTGCCTTCAAACCTCAGTCCTGCAGCCGGCGGTCGGAGTGAAAACCGTCCATTAGCAGCAAAACAAAGACTTCACTCTCCCACGGGGGAATCATGACTCACTTCAGCTGATCGCAGGTACAATAAAGCCTTTACAGACAGTTGCTCTGATTCCAAAATACCAAATTTAATTCCTGCTGCTCCTCCTTGAAAGGGCAGATTTCTGATTTCCTCCTTCTTCAACAGATAAAAGCTGAGCAGCGGTAAAGGTGAAGCCGGGCCGCCGTCCTCCATCACGGACGCTTGTTTCACCATCAAAGGCGTTTTTCTGACCGCTGTAATTGGTGGCGTGACTCCTGTGATTGCAGCCTCCCTCGTCGGAGCAATGATAGCTGCACTCAGACTGGAGGGTTATTGACATTGACAGGACTTGAACTCTATTGGAGTGGGTTACGGTATGAGAAACGATGATGGCAATTCACGGCCCGAACGCGACGGAGACGGACGGATATGCAGAGCGAGAGCCACGAAACATCTGCTTTGTCTGCAGCCTTCCTCCTTCATCTGCCCTTTAAAAGGAAAACCAGCAATTTGCTGCAAATGAGGGAGGTCAGCGTGGTCCTGGAGCATCTGGACACCAGGACGGGAACACAACTGTCTGTGTTTATCCACCTCCTCGCTCAGAAAACAGGACTGAACGGACAATCTGATCTCTAAAAGTGTTGCTTCAGTCCAGCTAACCTGCACGTCCACTTAGGTTCTGAGGGAAACACTTCTGAATGCATGAACACTGTTTTTACTGCCTGTACTGATGCATTCATGATCTCACACTGACGTAAAGTTTTTATTGTTCTGTTTTGTTTTTGCAGATAGCTAACTGGGGTGCTACTGTTCATTACAGCTGCACAACTGAACTGAAATTAGTCACAAAACTGTTCCTCTTTTCCATTTGTTTTATTGATTTTCTGCTTCTCCTTTGAGCCAATCAGTCATAATTCAGATGTTTGATCACCTCAGTAACCCAGAAACAGGAGGAGAAGCTTTAGACATACTTTTAAAAGAAGATGATTGTTGGACCAACTTAAATATGCTGTTTGAATAATTAACATGCAATCAAATTAAGCTAACAAGTGTTTTTAATGGTTTATGTTAAAGTTGCTTCAAACTGCTGCAACTTTCAGGAAAGTCGACTTAAAATTCTTCAGTTTTCACAACTTAAGTATTTTAAGTTTTGTAAATTATACAATCAACCTTCTTTTAATGACTAAACGTTTTCTTTTCTTTGTGATCCTGCTGGAAGAAAATCGCTGCTGAGTTGCAGCGAAACAAAACAAAAAACAAAAACCGTGAACGTCACCAGTACGATGCTGACAGTCAAACATCAGTCCACAGGGACGACGTATGAGCTGAAGCTGATAAACGTCCGTTCATCAGAGCATAACGATAACTGAGCTTTAATCTGAGCTGCACTTTACTCCAACCACAGTCGTGACTGGGCCATATTTTAACCCAAACCACCACATTTTGGTTCCATTTGTGGCCTGAACTTCACCTTCAGCCTCTAACATGTGCTGGTTCTGGTGAAATTTAAAGAACATGTTTCTCAACCAAACCACAACATGTCAGCGTCCAGCCGAACCACACCGTGAATGAAAACCAGAAGTAAACAGTGGAGAGACAATCAAACATCAGCCTGATGCAGAACACAAACCTTCATGGTTCTGTCAAACTGGAAGACTTTCCCACCAAATCCACTTCCTTCAAACTGTAAATGAGAATCAGCTGCAGCTGAACATGAGACGTGGTTGAAACATGGCTTCATCTTCTCATTATTATCTCCACGTATTTAAATATTTGACTCGATCAGTGTCATCAGTGATTATTTGTGAGCTTCAGCCAGATGTTGGTGCTGGATGGTCGGATGTACAAAGTC